CTGTTTTAGCATAGCTAGACTCATTTAAGGAAACTTGTTTTCGACCGTATGATCCTGAAGCCAGAAAGAGAGTTGGAGATTTGTGATTCCAAATCTTTGTTTCAATACAAGAGGAAACTAAGGCTCAGGAGGAGTTTAGAATTTACCCAAAGCCCCAAAAGGATACGGGCAAAGGAATCAGTCTCAGTGAAGGCGTCTTGCTTCCAACCTACCTTTGCCCCACTTGCCTGTCTGCCTCCCCCGAACTGAAGAATTCCTCTGGCAAAGGTATCTTCCTCTTCCCCTTTAAGAGAAGATCATCTCAGTTGACAAGATCTTGAAATTGTTGACAAGCCAATTGCATGTTTTTCTCCACTGCAGGTCCCGACAAAGAGCATCAGGGAATCCCGGAGGCTGGAAGGTGGAAGAGAGAACACGGACCCTGGAGTCAACCAGCACTGTGCGCCTCTGCACGCTCGTCTGCAGGATCAAGTGGATTGAATGTGATAACGCAAAGTGCCTTACACACAGTAGGACAAGAAATACCAGAACCAACTGTGGTCATCCGCAAGGCACCAGCCTTTCTGGAACTGAAAAATAATAACGGTGGTTAAAATAAATGTGTGTTGTTTTTTTTTTTTTAAATAAATGTGCATGAATAGTAATACAAAAAATGGGAAAGTCTAGCTTAGAGACTTGTTTATTTTATCTGGACACGAGTCTTTTGCTTATCCCACTGTAAACTGAGAATGGGTAAATGTTTCACCTCGGACACTGCTGCATATGCTGAGTATAGATTTTCCAATGCTTGACTTTCCATTAGAGTTTACTTTTCTGAGCATAATGCCTGAGGGGGCAGCCTGACTAATACATTATATGATTTGTGAGTTCACTTTTTAAAGCTGAGTTTAAAAGATGGGAAGTGAGATTTAGAAGGGAAAAGAATGAAGAGACTTAAATAGCAAGAAAACCGTAACTTCTTATGGCCTGTGGCCTCCGATTATTGTGATGTATTAAACTGACAATTTTCCAAACTTCTAATTTATCCTCATCTTTGCTCTTACTGACAAAAATATACTTCCATTGGAAAACCGACTGGTTCTTTATTTACATAGCAATTATATAGGCTGCAGTGACTACAGTGTAAACTTCTTGGAAGCAAGAGAAGACACTAAGTTTTCAAACATGGAGAAATGGAAATAATAGTGACTTTGAATATCTACTTGGCACCGGGTATGCTGCTAAGTAATAGTGAATGTATCATTTCCAAGCCGTCACCATTGCATGGTGAGTATCATTAACCTATGTCACAGATGAGACACATAGGGTCTGGTTGATTCACCCAAGACCACAGAGATGGTAAGGGGTGGCATCAAGAATCAGACCACCACTACCCGGCTCTGCTGGCCACACTGGGCTGCCGTCCTTACAAGAGGCAATGGAAATACATCTTGATTCAGCGTCAAAAGATGAGGTTAGGACCTAGGTCATTACTTGTGTTTAGAGATTAGTCAAGACACGCCACTTTCTGGGGTTAATTTCTTCATCTGTAAAATGAGAAGGCTAACACCATCTTCACAGGGTGTTAGGGGGATTAAATGAACCTCTGTGATCTGTGAAAGTGGTTTTTAAGCTGCCAAAAGGCAACATAAGAGAGGTGTTTGAGAGGTGGAGAGGCTGCCCTTCTCCACCATAACCACAGTCGCCCACCCACCTCTCAGCGCTGCCATGAGGAGTCACTGGATGCCGAGAGTCAAGGTCAACTCAAGCCCAAGCAGCGGCAGCAAACTCTGAATTGCTCGGAGCTTTGCAAATCTCAGCCACTAAATAAAACAGTGCTTATAAACTTAGCTTTTCTAAGGTAACTAGTGTAACTTTTAGGAGTTGCAGGAGCTCAGAGAGTATCTTCAGACTCTAGTTTGGGAAGTGAAGACTCAAATAGGACCGTCTTTAGTCAGATATACCCCATTAGATCTGTGAAGGACCACAGAGACTACGTGGACTCAAACCTTAGTAAAATGAGATCTAGTTGCACAGCTAGTCAGTAGCACGATTAGGACCAAGACTCAGGTGTCCTGATAATACATGAGAAGTCCTCAGCGCAGTGCCAGGAAGCACTCAACGCTCATCCATCACTATATAAGCCTCAATACTCCATGTGCCGTAGAATTCCCTGTGACCCCCATCTTTACAGTGGCCCCCCAAATAAGCAGGGAGCCTACCGGGAGACAGCCTGGATGTAACTTGGGCAGACCCTCTTAGTGATCAATCTGCTTACTCCTGTTTTGTCCAGTTTGGAGCAATCGTAACATGAGGGGCGGAAGCTAGGTTTGGAAAGAGGAGAGGAGGTGATGCACTCATTCTGAGCATTGGAGTCTGAGCAATTAGAGCAATTGGAGTCATTCGATGAATGGGGAAGCTGTCAGTGTCAATAAAAAGGTGTGTTATAAACTATTCATGGCCATATAAATTTAAAGCAAAAGAAGGAATGGTGGTGTTTTTCTCCCGGTGTTAATAAGCTGCAGCCTCTTGCTGGAGTGGCTTTTTACTTCCTGTCTTGCACTCAGCACCTGGGGGATTTGGTTTCAGAAATAATGAGTTAGCATTCTATTAATTACGTCTGATCTAATGGCCCTGAACCTCAGTGTTTGCTCACGTCTAGCAAGAAAAACGTAGTCCTTTCCTAAGAACATGAGATCCTTTCTAAATAAATTACGAAAGCCTTTCAATACCCTGCTTGTTCTTTTCACATAGTTGCTTCGATTCAGGATTATCTTAAAGCTGTGCTGGCCAGCTACCTGCTCTGTGTACTGTCCCAATAATTTACCCTTTGATTTCATGTTTCTTTCTAAAGCGTCAGAGCACTAGGCAAATATTACTCATCAAACAAACTGGTTTGATGATGTCCTACTAAATTTAGCCTTTTTTTTCCCCTTGTGGCTCAGTCACATCTATGTTCAGGGATCTGACCTACATGAGCTATGGGGATGCGGGGCCGAAGGGCCACAGTAGAGCATCCGGGGGGCAATCCGGGCTCCAGAGCTTCCTTTCTGGCCACCTACACCTTTCAGAATTTTCTTTGCCCCCGCTTCTCCCATTACCATTGCTTCCTTAGAGCTGTCCTGGGCTAGGCATCCGTCGGCACCTGCCAGGAGCTGTAATGGTTAAGGGCCCCAAGTGCAGCATTAGCTTGGAGGGTCGGTGCCTAACTAAATACAGTTTCTTTAGGGTCAACCTGAGGAACCTGCGGTCGGTGTTGGCCTCAGCCTCCTCCCGCGCATGGTCTGTGACTCTGTGTGGGGCCATGAGGTAAGAGTAGCTGCCTGTCAAGTCCTCTCTCTGTCACCGTCCAGACTCCCCTACCCTCCCTTCCCTCCCCCCCCTCCCCACTTATCCCCCTCCTTCACAAACCCACGAATCCCCATCCCAGGAGCTTGCTCCTCGGGGAGCAGCTGGCCAAGTGGAGGGAGAAAAGAGGTAGCAGAGAGGCTCCGACATGGCTCCTCTTCCAATGGTTTCAGCCCTGATGGGTTGTGAACTCAGTCGGAGACTGACCAGCTTTTTATCACCCTGCATGCGTCGGGAATGGTCTCTGCTGATAATTCCTGCTTCCGGTTAATGAAAGGAGAATTGGAGAGCCCAGGAGCTAAAGTGACGACTGTCTGGCTCCAAGGGTAAAACCACTTGTAGACGAAACGGAAGCAGATGGATCCCACAGCACTGATCAATGTGCTAATATTTAATCTGTTAAAAATTAACATTTGCCGTCCTCAGGTGAAACACACCTTGCTTAATCTTCTTCTCTTTCCTATTTGTCAATATTTCATCAACGCTAACTTTTAACTGGAAGATATTCTTGCTTATGGTTTGGTTTTCACAAAGGAAAGTACATTACAATAAAGTTTACCTGAAATGACTATCATAAGCACGATAGCAGGACATCACTTTATGGGGCCACTCCTGAGATCCCATGACCCCGGAGGTAAATCTGAGCCCAACATGACGGTATACCTCTTCCATCTGTGGCTTTATCTGCTTCCAGTGCAGGGCTTTCTTGAAATAACTACGATAATTAAACAGAGAATTTCTAGACCCTCTAGATTATATGAAGATAGATGCTAAAGGTTACTTAAAAAGATTTTTTTAATGTTTGTTTATTTTGAGAGACAGACACAGAGTGGGAAGCGGAGGAGGGACAGAGAGAGAGGGAGACACATAATCCAAAATAGGCCTCAGGCTCTGAGCTGTGAGCACAGAGCCCAACACGGGGCTCGAACGCATCAACTGCAAAGTCATGACCTGAGCCAAAGTTGGACGCATAACCAACTGAGCCACCCAGGTGCCCTGCTAAAGGTTACTTTTGAGAGGGGAAAAGTTTTGTGGATTAATGTGTCTAGGTGACTACCCAGCCTTTGGCAGAGCTTGATGGAACGAATGCACCTGACAGCAGACTCCACACTGCCCCCTATCCCACAACCTTTTAAAACAAGCAATATTGATAAGGAAGAGGCAGTAGAGGGGCAACTGGGTGGCTCAGTGCGTTAAACTTCCAACTCTTGATTTTGTCTCAGGTCATGATCTCACAGTTCATGGGTTCGAGCCCCATGTCAGGATCTGTGCTGACAGTGCAGAGCCTGCTTGGGAGTTTCTTTCCCCCTCTCTCCCTGCCTCTATCCCACTTGTGTGCATAGTTTCATATGAGTGCTCTATCTCTCGCTCTCTCAAAATAAATAAATACACTTAAAAAAAAAAAAAAAAAGAGGCAGTTGAAAGCACCGACTTCCAATGGAAGGCTCAGAGGTTCAAAACTGACTGTCATTTACCATCTGTATAACATGGGACAGGTTATTTAACATCTCTCTTTCTTCATTTGTAAACATGAGTATTAGTAGTATTTGTCTCTCAGGCCTGTATTGAGGATATGATTTTACACACACACACACACACACACACACACACACACACACACACACAGAGTTACAACAGTTTGCTTGCTACCCAGGACTGCACCCTCAGCTGAAAAGAAGACTTCTTTTTCTTTTTTCTTTTTGAGTGGGGAAGGGGCATAGAAAAAGGACAGAGGATCCAAAGTGGACTCTGGGCTAATAGCAGAGAGCCTGATGCAGGGCTCAAACTCACAAACCACAAGATCATGACTTGAGCTGAAGTTGCACACTCAAATAACTGAGCCACCCGGGTGCCCCTGGAAATAAGACTTCTTAGGTGCCCAACATGGCCCCGAAGCCCTCAAGGTGGGGTGCTTCCTGGGGCGCCTGGGTGGCTTAGTCGGTTAAGCGTCCGACTTTCGCTTAGGTCATGATCTCGCGGTTCGTGGGTTCGAGCCCCGCGTCGGGCTCTGTGCTGACTGTCAGCTCCGAGCCTGGAGCCTATTTCAGAGTCTGTATCGCCCTCTCTCTCTGACCCTCCCCTGCTCACGCTGTCTCTCTCTCTCTCTCTTTCCCCTAGAAATAAATAAAACATTAAAAAATTAAAAAAAAAATAAAGGTGGGGTGCTTCCTACTTCCACTGATCTTTCTCAACTGGCAATTATTCCACACATCGAAAGCGTTTCCCACCAATTAGCTATCTCAGCGCTAAAACTTCAGTTCCCTTCA